CTGCTCAAACTTCTGTTGGCATTACATGTGCTGGTGGCCAATTGGCTGAAGCTTATCACATGGCCACTCCCAGAACCTGGAGGCATGATTCACTGGGGGCCACTAATGTGACACACTGTCACCCATGAACAGCTCTCATTCATCTTTGAGGACTCAATGAATACCTCCCCTCTCCTAAGAAGCCCCCTCTCACCAACTGAGTCCTCACTTAACCCTCCTTTGGACGCCTGTATTACCCTAACACATCTCTACCTCTGCATTCACCCTTCTCTAATACCCAAGGTACCCTTTCTGTCTAACCTTTTGCAACAGCCTTTAAGGGAAGAGACTCTGCTGTGCTGAGCTTTGTATTCCTTAGGTCTAGCCCTTTGCCAGGAACACTGTGAATGCCAAAAATGTCTTTTTTTTAAATATTTTTATTAATTCTTTAAGAACTTCATACAATGTGCTTTGATCATATTCTCTTCTCCCCCAACTCTTGCCCCCACCTTTGTGTTCTTCCTCCCCGACCCCTTCAAATCCAATTTGTGTTGCCCAAATACTCTTGGGTATGGAACCTGCCCTGGATCATGGTCGACCTGCCAGAGGTCACACCCTTAAAGGAAACTGATTCTTCCTCTCCCAGCATCTCTCAAATGCCAATAGCTCCTTAGATAAGGGTGAGACCTCAAACCCACCTCCCTGCCTCGATGCTGGGATTTTGTCTGGCTTCAGCTTGGGGAGACATTGTGCATGTTGTCATGATTCTGTGAGTTCATATGTGCAACTGTCCTGCTGTCTGAAAAACACTGTTTCCTTGTAATTATCTATCACCTCTGGCTCTTCCTCTGAGCCTTGAGGGGAGGGGTGTGATATAGATGTCCCCCAATAATGTCTTTAATTATTTGATCAAGTGAGCATCTGTAAATAAAATTTTTAAATAATTGTTAGCCAGGTTTGGTGGCATACACCTGAATCCTAGCATGCAAGTGGCTGAAGCAAGAGGATTATGAGTTCCAGGCCAGCCTGAATACTCTCTCCTTTCAGCCTCTGCCTTGAGTCCTAAAGACTAATCTTTATTTTTCTATTTGTTATATTCTCTAAGCATGTATGCAGTTCCTAGGGGAGCTGACCCCACCTAGAATTAGGAAAGAGAGCAGAGAGGACAGCAGGGGTTCCAAGATTTTTAAATTTCATAGATTAGTCATGTTTCCAAGGAAATTTAAAAATCAACAGAGGTGTGGCCTTTCTCTTGTTTCTTTTCTTTTTTCCACATAAGGATGTTAAAAACACACATGCAATCTACTATCATCATTTCAAAAACAATGCAAAGATATACTCTGAGAACCAAAATATTGAAAAGGCAGGTGTGTGGCCTCAACTGGCCCAAAATTAGGGTTCAGTATCAAGTGCTGCCTTGATATCTGATAAAATCAAGAGGACCTCAAATGTCTCTATATCTGATCAAATCAGAGAGAAGTGCCCCCAACCCTCATCCCACCCCCTCATTAGGTACCCAGACAAACAACCCTCCTTAACATGAAGACCAAGCTCAGTTCCTGCTTATCCCTGAGGAGTGACCCTCAGTTTTCTGCAAATCTGCAAGGATAAGCCAACCTGTCAGTCACACCCTCCTTCAGAGAATGGAGCATCACATCTTCTTCCGACACTCCAAAGCCTGCCTCCCACAGGTCCTAGCTGTTCAGTTTCCGGGTACAAGAAACACATCCCACGTGTACTGTGTCCTCCTCTGAACTGTGACCATACATGATCTATAAACTGCTATCAACCTCATCCACTCAGCTCCATAAGTTCAGTCATCCCATAAGCCCTGGATGGGGTCCTCTCCCTCATCAGCTAGGTAAAAAGGAGGAGATTCAAACAAAACAGCAACCTGGCAGTGATAGCCAAGTGCCCCACACCATTCTTATTTCTCTTCTTCCACATGGAACAGTGAAATCAGTCTAGTAGAGTCCTGAGGACCCAGACTAAAAGCACCGGAGCACTGTGCATGCAGTTAGGATACCTGAGAGTTGCCTCCCACCGCCCACAACACACACCAGAGACCTGGCTGCCCTCCAAAGTAACTGACTGACCTTTGACAAATCATTTCCTTTGTTGGACTTCAAGCCCCAGCTGTAAAGTGATGAGGCCACTCTGCCACCCTGTGATGCTCCCAGACATCCTGATGATGTCAGTGAATGACTGGCAGCCACTTGGTTGTTCTACAGAAAGTATGTTTTTGGGGGGAGTTTTTTCCCCATGTTCCTCCAGCTGGAGCAACAGGAGACAGTGGAAGGAGAGGGTCTAGGTGACCCATAGGACCATCATGCCTTGGCACAATTCCTTCCTGCTTTCAGTGCTCTGACCTGTCTGTCCATAGTAAATGAGAGTTTTTCGGTAACCTCCCCTTTCTTATCCTGAATCTCTGTCCAGATCCTGGATTGTCTTATTTGAGACTAATTTCATCCAACTAGAGACCTTGCTCAAGCAGACACACAGTTGCACACCCTCAACAGGCCACACTCCCCTCCCCTTCCTGAAGGCAAAGTGCCTGGGGACCCAGAAAGTAGGCCAGATCCTCATAACCTTAGCAAAGTGGCACAGCTAGGCCTTCCACCCAGCACCACTCAGATGGGGCTGCAAAGTAGGAAACCAGCATCCAAGGCCTCTGCCAGCCAGAGCCCTGATACTGCAGCTAAAAACCCTCTGATTACCATGTCTTATCCCAAAATAAAAGAACCAACCAGTTCCATCCCCAGGCTTAGGAAGCCCCAAACTAAAGCAATTGTACTCTGATAAGAAAGATCCGAGGACTCAGAATCCAAAGCCACTAAGCAGGAAGGAACACACTGCAGTGGAGGGACAGGAAAGGCCAGCATGTATAGAATGAGGCAGGAGGATGAATGAATGGGAAAGAAGAGCAATGGAAGTTAGCAACTGAGGCTAAGGCCAAGTCTTAGAAATTCCCCTATGGACAGAGAGAAAGTGGGTAGGCTCTTCTATGAAAAGGGTTGGTCTTCAGGGACCGTTTTCCTTAGCCCCCAAACCCTGAGGAGCTCATGGGAAAAATAAGCTAGGTCTAGAGTAGGAGGTCCTAGATGCGAGGGCCAACTGTCTTTGCAGAAAGCAACTCAGGAACTCTGTGGTTTACCAGAGCAATCTCCCCTATTCCAGTTAGAATGCCCTGTCATCCTAAGCACTGGGAGGCCACCTAGCCTGCCAAGGGAGAGAAAGGGAAATGAAACTGCATTTGTGCACCCAGGGATGGATTCCAATAGTGTCATTAGAGTATTGGAAACTGCCGAGATGGAGCCAGGGCTGACTTCTATGAAGAAATGAATGAGCAGATGGATGGACAGCTGAGAGGCAGGTACCCTGACCAGAATTCAGAGACAAGGAGCTGGGAGACAGGGCCAGCCCAGATGCCCCAACCAGAATTCAGAGACCAGGAGAAGCAAATCAACCAAATCATCTTTAAATATATACATACATACATACATACATACATACATACATACATACATATACATGCAAGATGACTTAGTGGGTGAAGGTATTTGTCAACAAACTTGATTACCTGAGTTTCAGCCCCACAACCCACAAGGTGGAAGGAGAGAACCAACTCCTGCAAGTTGTCCCCTGACCTCCACATGTGTGTCATGGTATAGTGAGTGCAGATACACACAAGTAAATAAATAATAAATGTAAACAATTTTCAGTTGCATTAAAATTAACAACAAATATCAGCAAATAAATCCCCACATCTGTGGGTGAGCGGAATAAATCATTAGTGTTGGTTGCTTAAAAAGAGCCTCCTGGTGACATCCAACTGATCCTGGGGATCAGAAACTGGGTCTCAGGCTTTCCAGTTGATCATCCCTGCCCCTTTCCAGGAGTTATCTTTTCTCTTCCACTGGCTGAAGATGGAGTGGCCAAGTGGAGTGGCTCAGCACTGAGGGCTTGGGTTCCAAGGACCCGGCAACTGGCCAGCCCAACACTTACCAGCCATGAAGTAACAAGGAGTGGGATAGGATGAGTCTGTTGTGGGAGAGTGGTGGGTGTAATAGAACCATGGATGCAATGTGCCCATCTTGGTAGAAGGCAATACTCCCTCCTGTGTTTGAAGAGCAAACATTTGCTTATACTCATGAAAGTGAGAAGATTGTTCTATCTAGCTGTCTTGGCCAGGAGGTGCCAGCCCAGATTAGAAGTCAGGAGCAGAAAGTGGAAAGAATCCTTTCCCTGCAGATCTGTGTTCTGAGTA